GTTTCGCCTTTCGAACTTTCACGACACTACATGTATCACACCGCACGGGTCACTCCTAACACCAGTAACCATGACTCTGGAGGATTTTGAAAAGTCATTGGTAGAGGATCAGGAGAGACGGCACGAAAAGAGCGACAAAGAACGGCATCGACATCGCGACCGAGACCGCAGTCGGGATCGCTCAAGACATCACCGCCATCATCACCATCGTCGCCATTCGTCCAGGTCCAGAGAGCGTGAATCCGATAGGCACAGAGATTCGCGACACAGGGATGAGGACAGACATCGCCATAAACGATCACGCCATTCTACCGACCACGGAGACGATCGCGACCATGCCCATAAACGCCGACATCGACATGAAAGCCGAGACGACGAAGCGTCGGCCCCGAAGGAGGAAGTTCAGGAGGAGCCGACTCGCTTAAAGAGAGATGCGTGGATGGAAGCTCCATCGGCGCTGGACATTGACTACGTGCATCGGCGTGATACGACGCGCTTGGAGGAGGAGCCAAAGCCCAAGATGCTGCAAGCAGACTTTGAGCTCAAGATACATGGCAGGGAACTGAATCAACATTTGCACGATCTTAAGGACGGAAAGGCATTAGAGGAAATCCAGGAAGAACAGGCGCAACACGATGTTGACTACACCTTCGGCGACTCTGGCTCACAATGGAGAATGACCAAACTGAATGCCGTTTACAGGGAAGCGGAGGAAAGCGGGAAGCCGGTGGAGGAAATTGCTATCGAGCGCTTCGGAGATCTACGTTCCTTTTATGATGCCCGGGAGGAAGAGGCGGAATTAGATCGTCGCGAGCGGTACGGTGAGGGCTACGTAGGTAAAGAAAAGCCATCAGGTGAACTTTTCCAAGAGAGAAAGCTACAGGAGGGCGTCCACCGGGATACACACGAGCATGTCCGGAATCCTGAACAGGAACTAGAAGCTCACGGCCAGGGCAAACCGATCGATACAGAACCACCACAGAATACTACGCAACCCCTTGACTTAACAGCGCTCAACCGTCTTAAGGCGCAGATGATGAAGGCAAAGCTCAAAGGCTCTCCTGATGCTGGTGAGCTTGAAGAGCGATACAATGCCGCGGCGGCAGCCATGGCGAACCGGAAGGACCCTGGTGTTGTGGTGTTGGGGGTCCAGCAGAGCCGGATGCTTGCTGGCAAGAGAAATGAAGTCAAAGCTGTGGATACTAAACGAGGCCGGGAGAGGGGCCAAGTAGAAGAGAACGAGGATATGAGCATTGAAGATATGCTTCGCGAGGAGCGAAGAACCCGAGATCAGTTAGGAGGAGAAGGAAAACGGCTTGCGGAGAGAATAGCAAAGGATGCCAAATTCGAGGTAAGCTCCGCAATTGGAACCCATAGTCGCATGCGAGAAACTGATTGACTTGACCAGAATGATTTGGAGTACATGGACGACAACGCCTCCAAACTAGCACGACGGGTACATCAGTCTGAAATCAACCTTAAGAACACGACTATCAGTGAATTCCAAAAGATGAACCGAATCTTGGATAATTGCCCACTTTGTCATCATGAGGACACGAATACTCCGCCTATTGCCCCCGTGGTATCTCTGGCGACCAGGGTTTATCTTACTCTTCCCACAGAGCCGGAACTCAATCAAGGGTGTGCTACCATTGTCCCCATTCAACACCGGACGAATCTTCTAGAGTGCGATGATGACGAATGGGAGGAAATCCGCAACTTCATGAAGAGCTTGACCCGCATGTATCACGATCAAGGCCGCGACGTTATCTTCTATGAGAATGCAGCCCAGCCTCATCGAAAGAGACACGCGGCAATGGAGGTGGTGCCCTTGCCATATGAGCTGGGGGAGACTTCTCCTGCCTTCTTCAAAGAGGCTATTCTCGCCGCAGACTCAGAATGGTCTCAACACAAAAAGTTAATCGACACGCTGGCGAAATCTAAGCAAGGATTGGGCCGATCCGCCTTCCGCCGTACGCTGGTGAAAGAGATGCCATACTTCCATGTCTGGTTCGAACTGGATGGAGGTTTAGGGCATGTAGTCGAGGACGAGAACCGCTGGCCCCGAGGCGACCTCTTCGCACGCGAAGTCATCGGAGGAATGTTGGATTTGGCTCCCGATGTGATCAAGCGGCAGGGCCGCTGGAACCGTGGAGGTGATCGACGAGTTGACGGGTTTAGGAAGCGATGGAGACGATTCGACTGGACGAGGGTGCTTTTTGAGGGGCAAACCTAAGTTCCTACTCTCCATGTTCATTCGACCATAATCTAGGGATTTTAGAAGCCTCTTGTTACCATGTATCTTTCTTCTCCCGAAGCGGATTAATCAAGCACGCCGTTATTGACCATAGCGATTGTTGTAATTTCCACCATGTTGCACCTTCATCTGTATGAGCTGGTAACCGTTTGTGCACCAGGATCCTTTTGCAGAACCACCCTGGAAAATTCGGGCCAACCCTGATATCAATACTTCTGACGCCGATCCATCCATCTTTCGCCTCGTATCGGCGGGTTTCCGAACCTTGAATAAGTCCGGGGGCACGGCGGTTGATAGTCCAGTTTACCCGCGGGTACTCACTCAATCGGAGATTCCCATGAATAGAGCCGTTGTCATGGCGGATATCTCCGACATGAGCGGCGACTCTCCTGAGAGATTCAATCGCAATCGCAACTCTCGTGTTACGGCCGAGAAAGTTGAGGGTGAGAATGCGGAGTAATCCCGAACGCTGAATAGACTCGAGTTGGAGAATAAATTCCAACCAAAGGGGACATTCAAATGATAAGAAGTGGGGCACGTGGGGGAAGTTCGTCGCTGCGCCGGAGGAATTCCTTGTCGTTCTTTCTCGTCTATTCCCCTCCTTCGCTTCTTGTTCTTCCTCTATCCTTCTGTTCTTTTAGTCCCAGGCAAAGTGCACGCCCGTGGTCTCAGACTGACCTGAATTACCTCTTTGCGATTGTTGTGGCAACAGCAATTGAGGCGAGACACCCCCTCGGGCAAACATTATATCAACTTCCCCGCGCCTTATCTCCTCTCGGGTTAATTCAAGTGCGTGGTGAACTTCTCTTCTGACTCATTTTTTCCCTTTTAATGTAGAATTTGCCTGTCCAACAACTTGCTAACCGGGGTTGTTCTTACAGAAGTAGCAAATATGGCTTCGTCCGATACCAAACCTAAGGTTCTGCTCCTGGGAGAGATCATCCAGTACGGTTAACCCCCACTTTATTCTATACAACGGTCTTAGTATGTGCCAAACTAACGATATAATCCAGCGCGCACACCACATGGCAATCCCTTGGTGATATTGCGGAACTAGTCAAACCAACCGCAACCAATCGGGCAGAGTTCATCCAAGAATGTAAAGACGGCAAGCTCGACGGCGTAGTCGCCGCATACCGCACCTTTGACTCAGTGAGCATCACCGGCCTGGTAGACGAGGAAGTGGTGAATGCCCTTCCGAGCTCGTTGAAGTACCTGGCCCACTGTGGTATGTTATCCCACCTCCCATCTCATGCTATTACCCATGTTGAACACAAACTAATGGGGCTATACAGGCGCCGGATACGATCAAGTCGACGTCCACGCCTGCAGCGCTCGCACACCCCCCATCCGTGTCTCAAATGTCCCAACAGCCGTTGACGATGCCACCGCCGACGTAAACATGTTCTTGATCATTGGAGCTCTCCGCAACTTCAACACGGGCATGCTCGCCCTGCGCGAGGGCAAGTGGCGCGGACAACCGTCCCCTGCCCTGGGCCATGATCCCGAGGGCAAAGTACTGGGCATTCTGGGAATGGGCGGTATTGGCCGAAACCTGAAGAAGAAGGCCGAGGCGTTCGGCATGAGAGTCATCTACCATAACCGGCGGCAGTTGACAGAGGAGCTGGCCGGTGGGGCTGATTATGTGACGTTTGACGAGCTGTTGGCGCAGAGTGATGTGATCAGTTTGAACTTGCCTTTGAATGTGAGTTTTCCACCCAAGTAGCCGTCCACTACTACAGTGGGTGTATTAGATATGGGCTAACTTATCTGGGTCTCTCACAGAAAAACACTCGCCACATCATCGGTAAGCCCGAATTCGACAAGATGAAAAATGGCGTCGTCATCGTGAACACTGCTCGTGGTGCCGTTATCGATGAAGCAGCCCTCGTTGACGCCTTGGACAGCGGCAAAGTCTACTCTGCCGGTCTGGACGTCTTCGAGGAAGAACCCAAGATTCATCCGGGTCTGGTCCGGAATCCCAATGTGATGCTGGTCCCCCATATGGGAACTTGGACTGTTGAGGTATGTTCACTAGTCCTATCCATCCAACATTGACTGAGACTAACTTGTGGCGATGTGATAGACTCAAACCGCCATGGAAGAATGGGCCATGGAAAATGTGCGCTTGGCGATTGAAGCTGGGAAGCTGAAGAGCCCTGTTCCCGAGCAGGCTGACCTATAGATTTGGCTGAGTGTGAAGCGTTACGTTGCATCCTTTTTGACTTTCGATTGGACTTGTACATGGACTTTATAGAGGGTCGGGACGTCTGGTTGCGTCGGTATATGCATATACATAGGGCGGCTTTCAATGCGGGACGATTACAGGAATGACATTTGTCGCGAGACATCCTCCAACTGAAATTTCAGTTGGATATGGTTTTTCAAAAAGCTAGATTTGAGAAAACTGTACAACAAATCTCTCATCATTGTATTTCGTAAGACTTGTGCACCCTGAACGCCATGGTGCTGTCGTGCCCTAATTGCGGACAGGACAATGAATAGCAATCAACTCCTGAGCCATGACGTCCTCCATACCAGGAAAACCAAGATGATGATAGAGGAAAAAATATAGTCACTGAAGATAAAGGATATGGGTCGAAAGGAAGGAACAGGTCTAGTTAAACATCATTAAAAAAGCCAAAAAAAAACTTCGCCGGCAGTGTGCGATGACTCTTTTTCCCATATTACAAAATCCACGCCAGAGTCATCAAATGCAAGTCGGACAAAGCCCGAAAACTATTTACTCCCGTGATACGAACCAGGAACGGACCACCATACCGCAAATACGTTTGATGACTTGCGTGGTGCCTTTCCCACCCGCTTCTTGTTCGAGGAACTTCTGTGCAACGTAGAGCTTAGCCCCGGCATCCTTCTCGTTCGTTGTGATGGGCTGGGGGAAGCTGCGCGGGAAATCTGCCCAGCGCTGTCCGAGATGACGCGCGATAGCGATTGAATAGATAACATCACGGTTTTCAAACGTATCCAACAGCGTGCGGCAACGACCTAGCGTATCGTCAATTTCTTTGGCTGAACTCGCCTCGTTGTCATGGAGCGTAAGAAAGTGGCCAATTGCGCTCCAGAAATCCAGCGATCGTTGCGCTAACTGATCTGATAGACACGGCGGATTTGTGGGCGTTTCTCTGGCAGGAAACTGGGCTAAGGGGTTCGAGTCCACATGTTCGCCCGTAATCATGGACTCAATGACGTCCAGTCGTTTAGAAGAGGCTAACAAGTCATAATCTTGGCCATGACTTCCATTCGATACATTCATAACATGACGCATAACGCCATGGAACTCCAGACCACGGACGCTTCAAAGCTTTCTAGTCGTGCTATGACATTCGGATCATTGATGTTCTGATCGTTGAATGCCTCAATTAACGCCGAATACTCGGCCATGAGCTGCGCATTGGCCAAAAGGTGAGTCAAAGCCTTCTCCTGGAACCAACGCGTCTCGAAGAATTTGTCAATGGCAGGAGCATATGTGGCAAGGAACACCGCCTTGATTTCTTCTAAGCGGTTCGGTTGAATAGCAGTGATAGGATGAGGTGGGGGAGGAGGGATCCCTCTCAGCGCCAGAAGATCACTGATTTGGACTTGTTTCACTAAACAGGAGATAAGCACAAGAACGGGCGTAAAGCCAAGAAAACTCAGATCGAAAACGAACCTCTGAAGCTTGTAGGGTCCGAGGATGTCGTGGTGTTCGCCGGATTGACAGTAGGCTGCAAGCCACCCTCTACAGCATTCTGTACACTGGCCATGTTCGAAGAGCTGTTTCCGTCCAATGTTGGATCGATGGGTGCGCCGTAGTCGTATCTTTCGGTGGACGTGCTGGGAGACTCGGACGGAGCAAAAGGCTGAGAGACCGCAGGCACGTAACCCGGAGGAGCAGCAGGGTATGTTGGGGTCGACGACGAAGTAGAAGGATCTTGCGGGTTGACCACCAGAGACGGATGTGGATTCGGAGCTGGTTGTATAGCAGAAGGAGTCGGCTGTTGTTTAAACACCGGATCGTAACCTAAACATTCACGTTTACTTTTGACGCAGTTTCGGCAGACGGGATGGCCTTCGTCGCACTAAAAGTATTGCCCACCGTCAGCGTTAATGTGGGAAAAGGAATGACACCGGGCGGTATTGGATAATTTTCCACGCATAAAAATAAAGCAAGAAAACAATAATAAAGGCAACAGGATTGGGCTGTCGGGCGGGGAGGAAAACAGTGGGCAACAACAAGCGACACCGCGAATGGCGGGGTTTGTTGCAGGCGAGCCGAAGGCAGAGCTTGCGACACAAGCGAAGCGACCACAACACATTTCCTTCCCCGACGCCCACCAACCAGTTGCTCAAACTTCCCCGTCCACAATAAATGGATTAATAGCTTCTTGATCTGATCTTTCACATCACGTACCTTGATTCTCCGTTTTCGACATGTTAAACAGCCTGTTTTGGTTCTGCGCTTGACTTCCTTCTTATGTCGGCCGCCAGAGAGCATCTTGTTCGGGTCTCCTGGGAGTTGATACCGCATTTGCGCACTCGAATTCATTCCCATTTGCCCAACGTTGTTGGATATCCCGTCATGTACTGGCCTACCGAAGCCATTGCGGGCATGGGCGATCCGATGGGGGCTTGCGGAACATGCGACGTCTGTCCATGGTCCATTGTCTGCATCGAGGGTGCGTTCATCGGCGTAGAGCCGGCTTGATGGTTGTGATACATGTCGGAGCTCTGCTGCTGGTATTGTTGCGACTGGGGTTGCGACTGCATTTGACCCTGCTGCTGTGTCTGCTGGGGTTGATACTGTTGTGACGGCGCATGCTGCTGTTGAGGTACATGTTGCTGTTGCTGCTGCTGATACTGCGGCTGTGATTGCGGTTGCGCTGGTTGGTTCTGTAGTGGAGGTAGGTGGTGCGAATGTGTACCATTGGACGGCAGCTGCCATGACGAGTCGGGGGCAGGGGAAGGTCCTGGCTGTTCACCAATATTACTACCAGGTGTTGCCGAAACATGCGTAGTAGGCTCCGGCCCGCCGAGTCCTCCGTCATCGTGTTTTGGGTCCGGATCTTCAAACGAGAAATGTGTATCTGTCCCCAAGCCTCCGTCTGTAGCTGGCAAGGTAGTGTCTATCGGAGGTAAGGATGTGTCAATTGGCGGTAGAGACGGTATTGATGGGTCCAATGGCGGAAGCGTTGTGTCTACACTTGTCACAGGGGTGTCCATTGCTGGCAGAGATTTATCTATTGGGGGAAGAGAAACATCCACGGCTGAAAACGTAGAATCTTCGACAGAGGTGCTCGTCGGTGCAGCCAGCGCATCGGTTGGTTCGGCGGCCTGTTTTGGCAGTTCGCCAGGTGTGCTTGCAGGATCTGCCGTCTCCGCCATTTTTCTTGTGGTATGATCGTTTAAGAAAAAGTATGCTATCGCGCGAAAATGATCCCAGGTATTGATGGACGTCGGGCGGGATCGATTAAAATTTGCAGGCACGAGCCCTCACGGTAAGGCCAAAACGAGAATATCCTCGATGGTCGATAGCCTTATCCGTAGACCAGAATGGTGTGTGCCTGTCAACAAGCGGCGCTCTAACTGCGGTTTTAAAGGCACTGTTAGCCAACCAATATCAACGCAAGTTGAAGTTAATCAATCCGCCAATAATATAATATGTATCTAAGCCCAGAGACATCCGTCTCAGGGATGGGAACAGTGGTATTCCAAAGCAGGACCGAGGAGACATGGTTTCTTCCGGGTTGCGCATAGCACTGGTTGGAAATGTATTGTGATGCTGCGAGAGCTGTCTGCGTATGGCAGGCCCGTATGCATCTTGCTATTCAATGAGAATTGTAGAGATGTATAGTCACTCTTCCCAAAGATTCACACTCAGCCAGGACCATTAACATTATAGTCACCCATGACTTTGGGGATTGTACGCGACTGGATGAAATCTTCCGCGGTGCTGACAGCACGGAACAACCACCGCGCATCGCCAGGTGCAGTCTCCATATGCGACACTGAAACAGAGAGTGAAGGGCTAAATCTTCAGGAATGCAGCGAGTGGAATGGCTGAGGTTTTCGGGCTGATAGAGGGGAAAGAGACGTGTCTCGGATGCGAGTGACCGGGGACAAGCGATGAAACGAAGCTTTCTCGTTTACTTACCATGTACTGGTCCAAATAAGCGAAAAGAAGCGAGCCGAAATACTATTCCACCAGAACTATGAATTCGGGACCAGACAGTCTCCGCATTTGGAGTGGGTTGTGACGAGGAAAGTTGCGATAAGGTCGTTGCGCGACAAAAGTGAGACTTAGCTTAAGGGAAAGAAAGTCTCCCCGGATTTTTGTCAACGCTCCCAAAGTTGCAACGGAAGGGGAAAAAAAAAATTGACCAAGACCCAAGACAGTGGCAATACTACAACAACACCACGTTTCTCTTTTTTATATCAGTATATCTTTCTTACAACAACAACGACAACAACAACACCACGAATTATTGGTTTCTCATTCAACCTTAAATATACTGTGAATCCCCTCGGATGGTACTATCTCATCAAACTAATTCAACAATATTATATTATCCCAGGCCGACTCTCTGCAATACTCCCCAATACGAGGTTCCCTTGTCAACCTCGGAGAATTTAACTGGTAGCCACCATCGGAGATTGATCTGTTCAAAGCATGTCCTTTGAATCATACTCATTTTTCCACACCAGGTCTAATTCTCCTTGTGCACAATCCCCATTGGAGAATAAAAATAAGAAAGAGAAACCTCGAGGTTCACTCGAGTAGATGTCGGTGCTTGATCCACTCCACGGCTGAGTATGTAGAAGCACGGCCCGGGCTCTCTTCCGAAAACCCGCGTTCATGATCCATCTTGTTAACCAAGATCTATCCATCCACGGTCCGGGGAGAACGACGGCGATCCAACACTATAGTTGACTCGGTATTCTTTCCGTAGACAAGCCATTCATAATGCATAACTAGAGCCTTATCGCTCTGTAGTCATTCCTGGTATATCTTCTCCTTTCTCAATGGGTCCTTCTCACTTAGCTCTAGCTGAGAGGGTGTCATGCTTTGCCCCTGGGTCAAATATGTTCAGGATACGACTGGTTGTGGACCGACAAATTGACACGAGTATGCGCATGAACCACTCATCTGGTACAAAAAGCAGCGCAGTGTAGACGAATTACAGCGCATATCCAGTGTTGGTCTATTTTCTCATAACCTTTGGCTTGCGCTTCTTGAAAACGACGCCCGTACTGGCTTCCTCTGGTTCGCTCTTAACCACAGGCGCAGGAGGCGCACCAGCAGCTTCAGACGGTTCCTTTTCAGTTTGCGGCGTCTGCTCAGAATCTGCAGCTGCAGAGTCACCCTCGCCCTTAGCCGGAACATCAGCAACCTCCTGATCATTCTCCCTCCGGGTCGTCTCAGAAGCCGAAGATTTCGCTTTCTTGACATCCTTCGTAGACTCCAGAAGGGCATCCAAATCCGTATCGTCTTGCGCACCGGGATACTCCCGAGTCCTCGACCCCCAACCCTTGCTAACAAACCTTTCCGCCTCCCGTTTAGCCTCCTCCTCTTCCTCATCCCCCTCATGCTTGCGCTTGCGAACCCCAAGCGAAGAACCCGTCTTCTCTCCATCCGCGCCAATCACTTTCTGGGAAACCGTCTGCCACTCCCCGGCCAGGGCCATATCGCCACGATACTCGTTCGGAATCGCAACACCCATCTCCGCCAATTGCGCCATCTGTTTTTTTCTCTCGTCCAGGGAAACTGGCCGTGGTGGCGCTTGGGGAACTGGCGCGGCTGGTTGCCAGGAAGCTGCATTGCCGCTTTTTCCAGTAGCGTTGCCGGAGACAGTTTGTCTTAGTCGTTCAACCTCATTCTTGGCCCTCTGGGTTTCCCGCTGTTGACGCTCGTTGTCTCGGTGAATGTCCCGGAGGAATCGCTTCAGGTTTCCTTGGTGTTTGCCCGTTGCTTCATGTTGGGTTTTTTCGAATGCTGTATCTCGGATGAAAATCTTGCATTGTTTGCACCAGTATCTGGGCTGTAATTATGTTAGCTGCTTGGGTTTGGTGTCTTGCAGAAAAGCTTAGAGAATGATGCGAATGAAATTGGAGAGTGATCAAAACTTACGGCTGACTTCCAATGCTCTGCCATATTTAAAGGATTGTTCTTCGTTCAGCGTGTGGAAGATTTCCGTGGTACATGAGTTATTATTCGATAGTTAATGATATCACTTTTATTGCGACTCAGCGATAAATGATGCTTCCTGGGCGCGATCGGAGCTAACCCCGATGTAGTGATCACGGGGTTGGTCACTGTCACATGGAAGTATATATTCACTTTTTTTTCAGATTTTATTAGAGATGCAAATACCAAAATGAATATACTATATCTGGTATCACTAAGGTATCCATCGTAATTCATCCATATAAAGGCTCTAATTACATACTGCCACGTTCATGTTAGGACTGTGTTGCTAGCTCAACTCTGATCCTCGCCTCAGTAAGATCAGATTGGAACAAGAACCCAATATCTCTCGTATTATCCACGAGCTCAACCTCTCTTTTAACGAACGCGGAGCTATCGCTCGGTTGCAGGGACTTGGATTCCTCATCCTCGCTGTCCCATCCATCCTCATCATCTATATTTTGTTTACTGACCGGGTCCAACTCGTCCGTCTCCCAAATCAGCCTGAACTCATAAGGTGCCAGGCCAAACAGACGCGAAACAATGGCCTTAACTTGGTAAGTATCAAAGGATCGGGGTATCTCCTTCACCTTGATTTCCTCCTTTGACGCAGGATCTTGAGTCGTGTCTGAGGTGCCAGTAATCGGTAATTCTCGGGGTAAGCAGAATACTATCCTCAACAATCGTGCAGCAACAGACCGTGGATTCACAGCAACACCTGACCCTGTCGATGCTGTAGCTCTCTTAATCACAGGCTCACCATATATTCCACAAAGTTCACTATATCTGGGGTGCTTTGCGAGGATCTCCCGCTCCGCGCTTTCCGGGAAAGCAGATAGCTCCTTGCCGATGAGCGAGAGGTAATAGAGCTCTCCATTGCTGCGGTCCTTTTCTGTTATTGTGCCGTAGTTGAGCATTTTTAAAGAGGCAATTCGAGAAAGAGTTAGCATATATGCCTCGTCTACTGTCATTGTTTTCTCTGGCAACCCAGTGATCATTGATGGGCCCACAGTTTGGTCGTAGAGGGGATTCCCAGATATGCGGAGAGTTTGCAGTCCAGGAAATACAAGTGACATACGATTGACGAAATGCCAATTGTCGATTCTATTCCTGGACAGATCGACCGACTGAAGGTTGTTTGAAAACCGTAGAGGGGACGCTTCATCTGAATTGGATTCATAGATCTTATCAACTTGATTTCCGCGTAGTGAAAGACGTTTCAGACTATTCAGGAACGTAAGCTTTTTGAGGGAAGATAGAGAAGAGACCTCATTATCCTCCAAGGACAGTGTTGTGATTGTGCTTGAAAGGGTTGATGAGATAGATGAAATCTGGTTAGCGGAGGCGGTTAAAGTAGTTAGGGACAAAAACTGATATGTCAAAGCTGATATCTGTGAACGACCAGTTAGTCAATGCAACTGAGATTCAGGTAACTTCGATATACCTCATCCCAAGAGAGAAGTGTGTCATCCAACTGAAGCTCTGCAATCCTCTCGAATTTCAAGCCTTCCTCCACAGGGTCCATTCGGTTTCCACTAACAATTGAGTTAGTCACAATGGATTACACTTGTGAAGTGCCACTTACTTCAACTTCAATGTTCTCAGGCGCTTGAGGGAGTCACATATACTTGCAACATCACCCCAACGATTCAGAAGATTTCGACTGAGATCAAGCTCGATAATCTTAGGGCAGGTCTGCTCGATCTCGTTGCAGACTGACTGGACCTGCTCTATGCTACCATCATGAGCAAGGACTCCTGCGACCTGTAGCCCATCTAAGAGAACGATCTTCAGTTCTTGCAGCTCGGAAAGTTGTTTTCGGATTTTGTCGAAACCAACTTCTTCTACAACCTTGCCGCTAATTTCAATTGGTTTGTGTAGAGCATTGCCAGAGGCAACACCACCAAGGTTTCTCCTGGCAGCTTCCTCTTCGAACTCAGATGCGTACTTCTCGCGCAGAGCCTCTAGAAAGCTTCTAGGTTGGTCCGCAGCTCGAGACGGACGCACAAACGACCCTGCAGTGGGGTGTTTTCTTTTGCCTATGATAAGTATGAGCACGTGCAGTAAGATGCGAACATATTTTCCAGAACAGATTAATTGTCAATGATGAGAGATGGATGCTGTACATGTAAAATATCTCACTCCTTGATGCTCTCCAGAGTGCTTCCCCCGTGTTGGGTCGTCCCATTCCACACCTAACCATTCGCCGGTGGTGCCTGCAACTTTCCCCGCGTAGCGGATGGTGCACAATTCGCCATTATAGGATCGCCGTTGGCACACAGAACTTGTTGAGTCCATTATCATAAGCTCTTTCGTGCAGATTACCCTATTCGTAGGCATGCAACGGACATTCTATAGTTGACTTGAAGCCCATGGACTGTCAATTAGGACAAACAGTCCCTCTCGTCCAATGATAGTCGACGAGACTGCTGACATAATATTTCCGTGGAATTTCCCTTTGAAGCTTATCACCCGCCGCGCTCTTCTCCTCCGCTACTATCAGGGATACCCAAAGGTGTTTTAAGGCAAATCAGAATGGATTTCCAGGTGAGTTGATACCCTGTTCCTATGGCTACTCCATCCACTGGGGGTGTTGTATGCTAACGCCGTTGAAGAACCGTGCAGGATCCAAATTCGGTGGCGGTGGTGTCGCATCGCAATCTGCGACCAACGCAGACCGTCGCGAGCGCCTTCGCAAGCTCGCCCTTGAGACAATTGACCTGGACAAGGACCCGTACTTCTTCAAGAACCATGTAGGAAGTTTCGAGTGTCGTCTGTGTTTGACGGTTCACCAGAACGATGGCTCTTACCTCGCCCATACCCAAGGCCGCAAGCATCAGACAAATCTGGCTAGACGTGCTGCGAGGGAGCAAAGGGAAGGAAAGAATCAGGACCCATCGACGCTGCCGGGTGCGATGGGTGTTCAGGTTAAGAAGCAGACAATCAAGATTGGTCGGCCTGGTTACAAGATCACGAAGATCAGAGATCCATTGACGCGACAGCTGGGTTTGCTGTTTCAGCTGCAGTATCAGGAAATCACACCAGGTGTTCAGCCCCGAGTACGGTTCATGTCGGCTTTTGAGCAGAAGGTGGAGGACCCCCCGGACAAGAACTTCCAGTATCTTGTCGTAGCCGCAGAGCCATATCAGACGTGTGGTTTCAAGCTTCAGGCTCGAGAGATTGACCGCAGAGAGGGTCGCTATTGGACTTGGTTCGACGAAGATAGCAAGGAATTCTGGGTTCAGATCATGTTCAAGACCGAACGTGAGGAAAGATTTAGTGGTGTCCCAGGTCTGGCACCGATGGAACCCAAGTGAGCTACCTAAAGTGGTGTTTACGTATGGGTCTGCATGAGAAGGAAAAGTTGACGAAAATATCTTTCCATTCAACGGAGGTGCATCGGGCGTTTGAGGATCTGTTTTTTTACTGCAGCTTTATGTGATTCAAATTCATGTTACCCCCAGCTATTGTAATTTGGCCGAGAGCAGGCCTTCCGATGGCGTCCTTTATCATATTTTAAGTCTTTCTACGTCTCAGCTGGCACAAACACCAACCTGGAACATTACTGAGTGCCGCAGGACATTTACAAGGATTGAAGCCTATTGCCAAGTTCAAGTATTTAATAGGATTACCACCAACCATTTTATATGCAAACTAGTCTGAGATGTAAAAGGTACAACGTTGTACTTTGGGTATTTTTCCTGATAAATGCATTGATGCATCATGCTAGAGGAAACAAAAGTAGCCAGTCATTCGTGATCTGCACTTGTAGGCGTCACAGGCTCTAAACTTTCAACCAAATGATGCACTTGTTTGTAGTTCTTAAGGCTAGACACGGTGTGCAACTAGCGGGCGTCGTCTTGCGACATGCAAACACAGTAAGGAAGATGCACAGGTCGTTATCAATGACATGAAATGCCAAATGCGCTAGACGCTAGATGAAATCAAACGAACAAAGATATGTCGGGAATGGATCCTAGATAAGCCGCTGGAAAGACTTCCGCGCAAGCCTGCCCGCGGACCGGCTTTCCGAGGCGCTCATCCTGCATACAGTGATCATTCCGAGTATCAGTTCGATTCTCAGTTATTCTGGAAGGCATTGAATGCCTTGTATGTGTATCCGATGAACGGAAGGCTCATTTCAGCCTCCTGTTCCTCGGGCATGGCACGGGCCTGAGCACGGTGGATAGCACTGGTATCTTCCTGAGGAATTTCGTCAATGGGGAAGTATGACACGTCGATATTCGAGCTCAGTCGAGGCTCGAATGGAGCGCGAATATTGCGAAGCTGCTCCCAAACAACACCACGGAAGAACGGATGGTTCTTGATCTGCGTGGCACCACCGAACTGGCCGCCGTCATTGCCAACACGGTGCTCTGCATCACAAAGGAAGCTGTATATAATGGTCAGGCCCATGCATGTGAATATAGTGCCAAGAACGGGGAGGGGTAAATACCTTCGAATTAAGCCCTCAGATTCGCGGGAAAGAGTAAGCTCTTCAGGGAAATAGAGACATTCCCTCCAGTTCACGATCTTCCGGTAGGTATCGGTGGTATCCTCAGCACAGAAAGGTGGCCATCCCACAAGACATTCAAACATGATGGCACCAACTGACCACCAATCGCAAAGATAAGTATATCCTTGACCGTTGAAAATTTCAGGCGCAATGTAGTCAGGCGTGCCGACCGTTGAATAAGCCATGGCTCGACGGGACTTTCTCCATGTGTTGATTTGGCCACGGTTTGATACCGTGAGATTAATCGCATCACTAAAGTATCCCGAGTTACGGTTCTTATCCTTGGAGGTCGAATTCTTCAACAAGTTTTGATAGTATGAATTGTCATGAGTCTTCTTGCCGCCAGTCGAGAGACCGAAATCGGTAAGCTTAACATGACCACCACGGTCGAGAAGAATATTGTCAGGCTTGATATCACTGTAATTGAATTGCTGTCAGTACATTATTCTGAGCACAAATAAACGCATTGGGGGAAAAAAAACCAAAATAAGAAAAAGAGCTGGGACGACAGCGGGGGAACAAGCAACATGACAAGCGACCGACTTACCGATGAAGGAAGCCTAGTTTGTGGACTGCTTCGATAGCCATCACAATCTCTGCCATGTAGAATCTAGTGATGTCTTCGGAGAAAATTTCGTACTTGATCAGCATGGTCATCAAGTCACCACCCGGTAAGAATTCCATCAAAAGGTAGAGGTATGCGGAGTCCTGGAACGAAGCGTGCAACTTCACAAGCCAAGGGTTATCCTTGGAATCAGCCAGGATATCACGCTCGGCGCGAACGTGGGCCAGCTGGTCTTTCTTGAACATTTCAGTCTTGATTAGAGACTTGAGCGCATAGATTTTGCCGTCAGTCTTCCTTTGCACAAGCTTAACCTCACCAAATGCACCCTTTCCAATAACCTTGATAGTCTGGAAGTTCGACGGCGTCTCCTTGGTCCGAAGGAATCGGAGGAAGTTCGACTCCTTCTTCGCAATAGTTTCTCCCTCCTGACGCTTCGCATCCTTAGAGATACTGGGATCTTGGATCATCTTGTCCAGGTTCGTGGAACTGTTTATGTCAGCACGAGCATTAGTTGATCAAGTCCCAGCATGCAAAGTTCCTTATTCAAACCATTGATGTGGGACTTACCGCATGTTACGATCGCGCGCACGCTCAATGTTCTCGTGGAAGAAAACATTCACCAGCTCTTTAGCGGCCTTACCACGTTTGTGGATATTCTCTGAGTATCGCTCCGGGTAGCGTTGGAGTTCTTCATTCTCGGCGGGAGTACGGGGGCTGCGCGGCATTGGCGGGGCTAAATGACCAGGCTGTTGCTGCCCCGGGTTGGACGAGCCAGCCGTACGAGGTCTCTGAGCAGGAGAGGCAGAGCGACCGAAGAAGCCAGTCCGGTTCGAGTTCAAGTCCTGGTTGGAGAACTGCTGGATGAGGCCGTTGGTTCCATCGTTGGCGCTGTACCCCATGCGTGATTGATATGCGGGCTGCGGGGACTGCAAGTTTGATTGCCCATAGTGCTGCTGAGCGTAGGCGGCTTGGGGAGGATATGGGTTTGCCATGAAGTATCCCTGGTTATAGGCTCCGTTTTGAGCATCCATGTAATCCTGAGGGCCTTGGTTTTGGTAGATCGGCTGAGGGAACGCGGAAGGAGTTGTGGGATATGCGCGGTTGTTGGCCGCCGCATTGAAACCACGCTCGTTGTACCCGAAGTTCAGGTGGAGACGGTTATTATTGGGATCCATCTTTATACAAATTCCCTCCGGTGGTCACTCCTTCCCGGATGAGGGGTCTTAAAAATGGGCAGAAGGCGGTTTGAGGTAAAAAGTGAAGACCTTCAAGGGGGAGGGGAATTGCCCAAAGGAGCGGTGGCTCAGGAGGTCGAGTGCGACAAGTAGTCAGTCAAGAGGGGCGGATAATTAGTGGAGTGGGATGGGAGTGGACAACTCCGTACTCCACGGACAGACAAAGGAGAGAGAGACACGGGTATTACGGTCTCTCACTCTCTGTGCCGTATGAGTTGAGGAAGGGCGTGTTACCAAGGAAAGAGAGACAGAGATCTAAAAGAAGGGGAAAGACTGGGGAGAAGTTGAAACGCCCGTGGTGTGAGACCAGGAGTAGTAGCGTGAGCCAGTCGCTCCTCCTGTTGTCCGACTAGTCCAAGTCTGTAACTTTTTTGCTGGAGTCTGGACTTTTGGGTTCATTAGCCATTCCATGCCTACGGAAAACCATTGGTGCCACGAGTGCGGAACAGGGGGGGCTGGCTTTATTGGCCTGGGGCTGCCAGGCACCTTGTCGGCTCTTCACTGGCTTGGCGCCACTTCGATGCCCACTCGACGAAACGCCCCGATTGGTGCTCGGCGGCTGACTCATCCATCTATACTTCTATTGTTTCAATGTCCTCAATGAGATAGACTTGGACCGTGAGGAATAGTCGACCCGAGTTAATTATAAATAGAAGATCTTCGTCTCAACTCTATTGCCCGGAGTTCCATCCATATGAATGCTTCTTTTGGGGGGTAAAGAGTCCATCCATTATCCCCCCCCTTAGTAATATGGACTACTAGTAACTAACTACTCCATAACCTAGGGTATCCATCTCTCAAACAGGTGGGCCACGGGAGCACCCCATCTTGTCGATGATAATTCCCTTCAACCCTCCACCAGAGTTGCAAAAAGTGATTTGGAGCTGAACGAATTGAAATACCTTGGGAAAATAGCTACAAGCGCGAGACATATCCCACGTGTATACTCTGTACTCTAGGTACTTTACTGTTGTAGAATGTCGCCCAGAAAAAATACCCTTCTTCAACCGGATTAATCATGTTCCGGATGACGGAACGGCGCAGAGATCCCGAACTTTTTTTGAGCCAATGGACTATGATACAACATCCAAGAGGAAGGGATACTTCCTCTCTAGTACCATACAGTGCCAATTTGGTGATATACTACATCCTTATTACCACCGTTCGATTTGCTCCGTGTCTTATTTAGCCAAATATCCCTCAACTCTCGGAGACCATGGCGGAATCTTCGAATTCCGCTGCGGCCTCTGGCCAAACTCAGACCGCGGCAAAGCCTACGAAGGCGCCGAACCCAGTATGGAAAATGATGGGTAAGTCCCCGACTATGTCCTGTGTCTCATAGCAATTGGCACTAACTATCTTATCCAAGGGATGCCTAACTTCCGCCTCAAACTTCCTTCCCGCAATTGGATGATCTTTCTCACAGTAACCGGCTCTTTCACCGCTGCCCTGGTCTATGACCGCAAACAGAAGAAGCGTGCACAACAGAAATGGTGTGACTTGGTGGCGCACCTTTCCAAAGAGCCTCTCCCAATTGATCAAACACGGCGTAAGCTTACAGTCTTTCTGTCGGCCCCTCCTGGCGATGGTCTCCGCGTTGCTCGGGAGCACTTCAAAGAATATGTCAAGCCCATACTAGTAGCCGCGGCCTTGGACTACCAGGTGATCGAAGGACGGCGGGAAGGCGACATCCGCGCTGGGCTTGCAGAGCGAATTCGCAAGTCTAGAAGGAAGTCCGGCGAGTCAAGCTCTGTGGTGGAAGAAACTGGCATCGAAGAGGTCGTTGCGGATGCTAGGGAGAAGATGGGAGTGGTAGAGGAGCCAGTTCCCAAGGGTGATCTGATCATCGGACGTAATACCTGGAAAGAGTATATCCGAGGTCTCCATGAGGCTGGCTGGGACCACTCGACCCTCCCCAGCCGCCTGTTTCGACAGATGTGCCGTCACCTTCCGAGGGAGCAGAGACCAGTGGCTCTCCCGACGACACCCCTACCGCCGAGAACGCCGAGAAGAAAGAAGAACCCGAGAAGAAGGATGAGAAGCCTTCTAAGCCTACCGGCCCGACCCCAGCATACATCACTCCCGCCGACTACTCGTCGCAAAACCTCCCACGGTCTCTCCCACAGTCCTTGGACGGCTCCGCTCCGATCCATTTCCCTCACATTCTAGGATTCTTGAACACTCCTATCAGAATCTACCGATACTTGAACCAACGCCACCTCGCTGATAGCGTCGGACGGGAGGTTGCTGGCATCGTTCTCGCCTCGACGACCCGGCCATACAGCGATGGTTCATTCAGCACAGACTCCGAGCTAACCCCAGCGGGTGTCGACGCCGCTCCAGCCTCCGATAACCTGTTGGGTGGAAACTACGAACAACAAACCCTGCTCGAAGAGGAAGAACAGGACTGGCACAAGTCCGTGCACAAGAAGGATGAGGCGAACCCTAATAAGGAACGCGAGTGGGTGGACTCTGTCGTTCTGGATTCCCGTATCGCAGCCCGGATGCAACGCTATGTCCTTTCTCCCGAAGACGAAGCCCGCTCACAACGGATTGCCGAGGGCGCAGAATACATCCTGGGTGAGGAGCGGCCCACGCCTGTTCCTTTCTGGCAGCGTATGTGGATTAAGTATGGATATGGCGAGGACGAGGAAACTCTCAAGAGGAAGCCTATCCTTGGAAACATTGACGGAGAGGATGACCAGTGATTCACGGCCCAGTTCAAGTTGATATCTCGCATAGTTATGGAACGGAAGCTATAGATATATGTTTGGTTTATATACGCCAGCATTGGTTGGGATGGTGAACATAGGATATATCTCATCTACTGTACCAACAAATCGATCTATACTGTATATTAGTCTAGTTACGGCATTAAATTTCTACTCGTACATACTGGATTCAATGTGTTGTTCGGCATCAGGTAAACATCCCTCTTTGTATATTTTCGGCTATGTCCGGGTGTTGAGAAGTGGTCTAGTACTAGTTAACATTGGCTCTATCCGCGCTCCATACAGTGCAGGATATATTTACGCAACTTAATTGAGCAAGAAAGGAACAAGAAAATGAAGGGAAAGTTTGTTTTTGATCCTTTCACAGACTAGCTGGTTAGCTCCCAGTTCGACCGGTGAAATCTTAACTATACTAGTACTGGTACATCATCTCCGTGTGTTTCGATTGCTTGATATCTTATATCAGAAAAGTTAGGATTTTTTTTTTCTTCACCGTTATAGCAGTGTAACTCCACCCTCATTCTTAGGCCGTAAAACTCTTGACTTCTATACTCGGGTCTGGAAAATCAACTGCAAATATTCCCCGCAGTTGTGGGGTATTGGAAGAGACTGATTGCACTCTTCTCCATGACATCAACTTAGTTCAGCTGGAATACTGATGACTCAGGCCACTTGCTCTTGGCCTTCTCAGCGTAAGCGGCCTTTGCGGCCTGGTCGCTTTTCCATTCGTCGAACAATTGCAGGCCAGCAAGAGCGGTCTCAATGCTGTCAATTTGCGAGTCAAGGGAGGCGGTGAGATCTTTCTCACACTGCGCCTTGGAGTCTGCTTTCAGTAGCTGTCGGCATGTCAGGCCTGCTTGTGTGTGGGGGGCGCTGTCCTTGTGTGTCGACAGGAAAGAGTCGTTCCACTCCTCGAGGTTCTGGGCCTTTGGGAGCAAAGTCTCAAACTCGGCATTTACAACCTCAGCCACCTGAGGTGGCAGTGGCTCAGAGAGACCGTCCAATGCCTTGCGGAAACGGAGAAGCTGAATGTGAAGGGTTGGGTTGGAAGCATCAATTGCATGGGCGGCCGAGAGGCATTTGAGTGCGAGCGCATATTTACCTGCAAACCAAGTTAGTTGAGGTCGCTGAGATATCGCATGGGTGAGTGTGCTTACCTCTCCTGAGATAGACCTCGAATCCAAGATTCTGGGCCTCGATGCTCTTGGGGCTGAACTCCAAGAGCGGGGTCAGGAACTTGGTTGCCTCCTTCAGTGGATCCTGGGTTTGGACAAGCTTGTTGCCAAGCGGATCAGGGTCTTCCTTCTTCACTTCACCATCACCACCCTTGGTGCTTGCTGCTTTCCTTGCCGCTCTCTTGTCGGCCTCAATCTTCTCCAGTCGCTCTTGCTCCTTCTTGGCCTTCTTGAGAGCCTTCTTGCGCTCAGCACTGTCAGCATCACCATCGGCACCGTTGGGCAAGGGCCCATGAGCGAGGTCTGGCTGGTCGTGGAGAAGCAGGTACGCCCTGATGGCAGAAAGAGCCGCCCGAGTGTAGAAGGGATGCTGGCGCAAGCGATCCTCCCAGCGGACCATGTCAACATATGCCCTGACCATGCCCTTCCTCAATGAGAAGCTATGGAAATCAAACTGGTCTTCTTGCCAAGTGTCAAAGATGTTGTAAATTCCATGGAAGCGCTTGAGCGCAAGCCCAAGTTTCTTCTGGCGCAGATAAGCCTCACCATCCTCGGTCAGATACCAGACACACTGCATTTCGTGAAGATCGCCCATCGCACCACCGACAGTCTCATTCCGAGTAAATTTACTCATGTTTTCAAGTCCCTTATCGTTGTCATTGTTGCGAAGTTGGTACTTGGCGGCCTTGGAGTTGATATAACGGTCCTTCTCATCCAGCTGTCTAGCCTTCTCCATCTCCTCTGCCGCTTTCTCGAGGTTACCATAATGCTTCCATATCCTGGCCTTGGTCATTTGATATTCTACGGCCTTAGGAGACAGCTCGATAGCCTTGTCAACATGCTCCATGGCCTTGGTCAGATTGCGGCTGAGATGGTAATTGTAGTGCTGCGCGAGGAAATAGTGGGAGGAAGAAAGGAATTCCTTGTTGTCGCCGTTCGCCTCGCCCTCCGCAGAACCGTTGGTTTGAGGTACGGAAACGTAGCCTTCCACCAACTCCTGCACAGTGTCACGTTTCCAAGTGTTGGTATACAGGGATTTAATATTCGCAAAAAGAGAAGGGACGCCCTTCTTGAGCATACGTTGCAAGTAAGCATCAGCAGCATGCTTGAAATCTTCACCCTCCAAGAAGTCCAGTGGGATTCGACGAGGAGCATCACCACGAGGGTTCTTCTCCACCCAAGAGTCGTATACAGCCTTCAGAGCCGTGTGGTCATTGTCAGGAATACCCTTAGCCCTGATGAGAGCATCATAGTACATCGAGTTCTCGGGGTTGCGGTCGAGAAGGGCAGTGTACGCGGCCTCGGCCTCGGCCTTCCTGTCAAGCCGCAGAAGGTAGTCCGCCTTCATCTCCATGACGGCCAGCACATCCGTAATTCTGTGACCCACGGTTTCGAGGTGTTCTAAAGCCTGTTCGAGTTTGCCTGCCTCGGCCATAATCGAATTCTTGTACAGGACGGCCTCCGAGTGCTCCATGTCGGAAACTGGCGGCGTGGTCTTCAAGGTCTCCTCATACGTCGTCAACACCTTCTCCGCCTCTTCCAGGTCTCCAGCCAAATGATGTGCGATAGCCAAAGCCGTCCAGTTCTGGCGGAAAGCGGGTCGGGCTTGGAGCATGGTGGTTCGGCTCTGGATATATCCCTGGTAGTCCCGCATTTGCATCTGAAGCAGGGCAAGATCACGTTGGATAGGCTGAGACTCCGGCTCAATCCTCAATGCAAATCTGTATGCCTTGATTGCCTCCTCGTAGTTCTTCTCCGCTCGATATAGCAGACCGTAAACGTGCCAGCAGATGTGCGATTTCATGTCATTCTTGAGAGCTACCTTAGCCATCGCAAAGGCCTCTTCTTGCTGACCAAGGTTGCTGGTAATCAGCGCCTTCATTGCTAGGGTATCGCCATGGTTGGGGTTCTTCCGAAGAATTTGCTCCGCGGTCTTGATACCTGTTGAGGACAAGCAACTTTTAGTTGTCTGACACTTGTTCCAATTCCGCACAGGAACTCACCTTTCTTGTGTTGTTTATTCTCATAGTGGCGAACCACCTGGCGGAACAAGGATGCGTCCTTAGAACTCAATGGTTGTGGCATGATGGGTGGGTGAGGGACTGCAAGTAGGTTGACTTGTGTGTCGATGGACTGAAGCTGATGTGCGCGGGGGGGTGATTTAATTGTTCCTTCGGGACCGACGAGCGATTAGGCAATGATAAGCTATGACCAACAGAGAAGGAGTAACAGACAAACCAATTTTGAATTGGTCCTTGTTGCAGCCCAGAAGGGTTTTGCCCACTGCGATTCAAGCTCAATGTTCCTTCCCGATCGCAGGTTCTCGAGGACAGGCCGGCAAATGGACGAAATAATAATTTATCCGAGATGAACGCTTGCGTGCATAAATCGAACCCCGACAGCCCTAAACTCGGATCTATGCCCAACACTCAGTGCCAGCAAATTATGTGGTATGCTGGCTAGTATTTCGTCAATACTAGTGTGTGAGACGAATATTGGCCTGGTATTTATATACTGCGCTGCTTTCTATGCCAGCGCCTGCTTCACACTGTGGAATTCATGATTGCCTCATCAAGGAACGCTTTATATATGCAACTAGTGTACACGTTGAGTATATACATTATATCTTGAATCATGACTGGACGCCCGTATAAGCCAGACGAAAAAAACATATCGACTGTCCATAACTCTCCCAAATAGTTCTTCCCGAAATTGAAAGAGCTACTGGTGCCAGCCCTTCCTGTCTGCGATCATCGCTGCTTTCTTTCCCGCCAGCTATTGAGTGCTTCTTCCCAGCCTATTGATGAGCCATTGCATCTTTCAGTCACGAGACCCCATGTTCGTGCACGGATGATCTCCTCAACGTTGCGCTGATTCCGGACAAGATTCGCTAATGACTCGGTTCGTGCCTCGCGAGGGAAAAACCGCGCGGAGTACGGATCCAGACGTTCGTTGACGACTCGCTCTCGATCCCTGGCAGATTCGGTCTGTCGAAGAACAAGATCCGGGTCGTCCGGGTCGGGACTTGTCGCGACGCCGGCACAGTAGTTGAGCACGTCCGACCGTGTCTGCCATGAGGGGAATAAAACGTTGTCCTTGAAGTTCTGACAAGCAGCAGGGTCTATTGTACGCCCCGCTTCTGAATCTGTTTGACGTACAGCAGTCGAAGAAGGATCGAAGCCCTCCCGCGATGGGGTGAACAAAGCATTGAGGTTCTGAGTAATGGAATCGTCTATTGTCGACCTGGATAGACGTAGGAAATCTATAAAGTGAGCAATAGTCGATGAGCTTGAGATTCTATTATCATGGTTAGATGGTCGTTGGCGCTAAGGCATACCTCGGAGCAATCTCTCATTGAAGCAAAATTGGGGACTCAGTTCGGGAGCCGACGTTGACGTTGCCCGAGCCATTTTTGGATTCTCGGCCTTTGTAGACTCCCGTCCCGAGCTGCCCTTCTCAGTCCAAAACCACTCCAGATTGTACCACGTTGACGGGGTGCACGAAAGCAGTAGATACTAGTTAAGTGGCGGGATGGCGGATGAGTAATAGTATGGTCTCTGGAAGTCCTGCGAGGGTCTCACGTTCCCTTATCCAGGTAATGCGATCAAAAAACTGAGGGATCCGGCCAAGAAAAATGACGCTTGGCTCTTTGTCGAGGATTATGTGCAGTGGAGAGTCTCTCAGACAAGACCCGAGCCGGTGGTGTTGGATGGATTGAATCATAAGGTATTTGCCCAAAACGGCTAGATTATTATCGATAGCTCTCGATCACGGGACTTCGTGACCCGTGACGCGTTTCATGCATTGTAAGAGGACTTCAACGTCCTTTCAACATTTGCATTGTATCTTAATTTGTTTCAGAAAGCAAATTTTGCTAGCATTTCATCCAGATAGATATCCGTCTGTATAAAGATTTGTTGAGAGTGGACATTTAATTGTGCAATCTACCCTATCAAAACATCATGCCTGAGCTAGCCGAAGTCTCACGTATCGTCCATTTCATACGCCAGCATCTTGTCGGCAAGACTCTCGCCAAGGTATCTACGCAAAATGATGACATTGTTTATGGTAAAGCGGGGACGAGTGCCTCGGAGTTTCAGAAAGCAATGGAAGGCAAGAAGATCGTTGGTGCAGGGCAGCAAGGCAAATACTTCTGGATAGCCATGGCGTCGCCGCCGCATGTTGTAATGCATTTTGGCATGGCAGGCTGGCTGAAAATTCGAAATGCTGACACATACTACTACCGGACTGACAAGCCACAAGACAAAGAATGGCCCCCCAAATACTGGAAGTTCTTGCTGGAAACGGATGAGGACCCAAAGACAGAGGCTGCATTTGTTGACTTCCGCAGACTAGGCAGGATAAGACTGGTGGATTGTCCCGCGGAGCAGATTCGAAAATTCAGCCCCCTCAAAGAGAACGGTCCAGACCCTGTGGCGGATAAGGACACGGTGACCGAAGACTGGCTGGCAGGCAAGCTAAGGAGCAAGAAGGTCCCCGTCAAGGCTTTACTTTTAGACCAAGCGAACATAAGCGGGATTGGCAATTGGATGGGGTTTGTTACCAATTAACCGTTGACTGATGGCGGGATGAGTACTGACTGTCACATAGAGATGAGATTCTCTACCATGCAAGAATTCACCCAGAGCAATACAGCAACACCTTGGCTGACGATCAAGTCAAAGAACTTCACTCAGCCATTCATTACGTCTGCTCAACCTCAGTGGATTTGCTGGCAGACTCCGACAAGTTTCCTGAGGACTGGCTGTTCAAATACCGATGGTCAAAAGGGAAGAAAAACGCCTCTCCCACTCTACCGAATGGAGATAAAATTACCTTCCTTACTGTTGGCGGTAGGACAAGTGCTGTGGTTCCAAGTGTGCAGAAAAAGACCGGTCCTGTAGCAAAAGACGTCAAGACTGAGGATAGCGATACGCAGAATAAGCGGAAGCGAAAAATAGTGCCTAAAGTTGAAAGTGATGCAGAGGCAAGCGAGGAAGAGCCAAAGGCGAAGAAAGCAGGATCGAAGAAAACAGCCCAGCCGATCAAGGAAGCTGATGACGAGAAGAAACCTGAAGTAGACGGTACATCGTCTACGGGGAGAAGACGTTCGGCTCGGCTCAAGAAATGAGTTCTGGGACACTGTTTTGCCCTTACAATCTCTCGAGTCTTCAATAATTGAACTATTTATATCTAAACCGCTCACAAAGCATTGACCTACCGCTTCATAAGACATGCCTTAGCGGAGCACTGCATTTTCTATTATTACATTGGCTATACTCTCATCCCATGCAACCTTCTGTGGAAAACATTGAAATTCCCCTTGCTTTTGGCGAGGTCGCCTGTGTTTTCCAGAACCGCAAACACTATGTTCTCCCACCATCCTTGAAATTCCGGTTCCTGCAAAACCTCTGCCCAACAGTTCGCGACCTCTTCCTTTGGGTTATCGAAAGCACCACAGCCAAAGGCACCTAAAACAAGTTTCCGATGCTTGTTGTAAGCTGCAATACGGAGAATCACACGCATTTTGTCCTTCGTCACTGCGCGATCTGCGATATGTTTGTACCGTGGGGGCTGTGTGCTCTGGTCTACGTCCGGCCTCCTCAATGCGGCCATACTGACCACACTAACAATGGGTAGAGACTCGGGCTTTTGTAGGTCCATTAACCTGTGTCCGTCTGTGAAATTCTCACGAAACACAACAACGGTTGGAGAGTAGATAGCATCGTGACTCCGTAAAGGGTAGTATCGTAGCTTAAGCGTAAAACTAAGACTACTGCGATAGCAAAGCTCTTCCTCCTGGGCTAAGGCTCCCCGAAGCCAACCACCACCTGCACTCTTATCGCTAGCCAGATTCAGTACGCAGATGCTTCTGGTATCCGTGGGACTGGTGAGGCTGATAGCTATATTGAAAGCGTCGCCATTCACAACTTCCACTTGGGTGTTGAGATTTGGACTATACTTGCAGTCCAACACCGGCATCGTATCACGTGAGCAGCGAATCCCAGTAGGAGGAGCATGGGGAAGCACTGCTAAGATCTGAGGGAGGAGTGCCTTGGTTTCCTTTGCAGTTGAACTCAAGATAGCTCTCCTATTCGAGTCGGTGGGGTTCGTTGGAGGCTTGGAGCTGGACATGTTTGTAGTGGAAGTCGATAGTAGATACGTAGACAGGACAAATATAAATTACTACTTCTGCCAATTTCGAATAGATTATCTTTCAAAGGAAACTTTCTAATGGCATCTTTGATTGAGGAGAAGATCCTCTTCTTACACGTCTCCGCCTCGATACTAGTACACTTCTGTAGTACCTGAGTCACGGTCAACACGAACGAGCGGCAAAATACGAGGGCAATTAGGCGGAAGTGGGTAGGCGGTGAGCTTATCAGCGCCGATCGGCGGGTGTTCTTCTAATCCGTGGCCTGGGATTCGCCACGGAGGATGACAAAGCACTGCTATCTCACTGTTAATTCATGACTAAAGATATATTCTCCTCCGATCTTCTCCAATCTATACATCTACTTTTCTTCCCCTCCTCTCTCTTGACTCAGGTTACGACTGCTACTGGTCCATCCTTTTGACTCGAATCTAGATATATTGGATCCGAGTCTTAAGAAGAGCACTAAAGAACCTTCATCCCAGCACTCCTCCGTGTGGCGTTATCTCTTCCCTTGATAATCCTCAGGCGGGGCTTCTGCGGCGTGCGCCACAATGAGTGCCATTTTATCGGCAGATGACTTGAACGATTTCATCTCTCCGGGTGTTGCCTGCATCAAACCGGTAGAGACGCTTCCAAAGAATGAGTCCTCAAATTCCCAGGTATGTTCGACATTCTCAATACCTGTCCCCTCACCTCCGAAGCCGGTGGACACTGACTTCTTTAACCTATAGAACCCATACGAAGTGACCACGGAAGATAAAGTTCAGCCTGAAAACTTGCCCCCAGCACAGATATCGTTGACCGACTGTCTTGCCTGTTCAGGCTGCGTCACCTCCGCTGAGGCGGTGCTGATCTCGTTGCAATCGCACGCCGAGGTCCTCAATACCCTTGACGCATATCCCGAATTACCATTGACGCAGAACAACAATGGGCCTTACATCGACAGTAGTAATGTGCCTGACGGAGAAAGCAGGATTTTCGTGGCCAGTGTTAGCCCTCAAGTGAGGGCAAGCTTGGCTGCTACCTACGGCATATCAGAGAAGGAAGTGACATACGTGATCGATCAATTTCTAAGCGGGCCCCACGGCTTACGGGCTGGAGGAAAACACGGTAGCGGCTTCACTTGGGTTGTCGATACCAACATCATGCGTGAAGCAGTACTCGTTCTTACAGCAGACGAAGTTGGCGAGACTTTGAAGGAACCATCTGGAAGAGGTACTTCAAAAGATCCTCTCCCTAAGCGGCCAGTTTTGTCATCAGCCTGTCCGGGGTGGATTTGCTATGCTGAGAAGACACACCCTTTCGTACTCCCCCATCTTTCTCGACTGAAGTCCCCTCAAGCATTGACGGGCACCTTTCTGAAGACCGTGCTCAGCAAAGCTCTGGGTGTGCCGCCTTCCCGCATATGGCATCTCGCGATCATGCCTTGCTTTGATAAGAAGCTTGAGGCCAGTCGAGAAGAACTCACTGATGTGTCATGGTCCCCGCTTGACGGTGGAGCAGTTTCAACTGAGAATAAGCCTGTCCGTGATGTCGATTGTGTTATTACTACTCGAGAGCTACTTACATTGGCTTCGTCCCGTGGGATATCTCTCCCTACATTACCGCTGAAATCCCTTGCGCCATCATTTGCCCCACAATTCCCAGATGAGACACTTAACGCGTTCCTGTTCCGCAAGCATAATGCGTCGGAACAGTCCATGGAGACCGGTACATCTGGTGGTTACCTTCATCACGTCCTTAAGACTTTCCAAGCCAAAAGTCCTGGAAGTGAGATTGTGACCCAGAGGGGGAGAAATGCTGATGTTGTGGAGTACTCGCTTATGTCTCCTGGAGGCGAAACCCTCATGAAAGCCGCTCGCTATTATGGTTTCAGGAACATCCAGAATCTTGTCCGGAAGCTCAAGCCTGCACGTGTGTCACGGCTCCCTGGGGCTAGAGTGCCTGCAGCTTCAGTGGGCGGCAATCGGCGACAGCCAATCTCGAGAAACGGCGCTGCTGCTGGGTCTGGGACGGACTATGCTTACGTGGAAGTTATGGCGTGTCCGGGTGGCTGTACCAATGGCGGAGGGCAGATACGTATTGAAGATGCCAGAGAAGTAAGCTCCAGTGCACAGTCAGTAGCGGCAGCAGAGAACCCATCAAAGCCAACCCCGCACGAGCAGCGGGCCTGGCTCGCTCGTGTCGACGAAGCATATTTCTCTGCCGAGTCTGATACCGAAGGCGAAATGGATGGTCAGACACAGCCCCTCACCATCCCTGAGAGGGAGGCTAGGGTTCATGAAGCTTTTGAGTATTGGTCCGACTTGATGAAGATTCCTCTTTCGAAACTTGTCTATACGACTTATCGTGAGGTTGAGAGCGATGTTGGCAAACCCAAAGACGCCCCTATTGATACTACCCGCGTCGTAGAGTTGGCCGGGAAGATCGGTGGTGGTTGGTAGTTGCCTCTCTTGTGCCCACGAATTTTCTCGTTCGGTGATGTTAATGACCTGTATACCCTGTTACGCCTGCGGATCTACGATAGATATCATTTTTACATATTCTTTTTTGGGTGGGTCAAAAGTCTGCGTGTCCTGCATTGTTGGTTGCATTTACACGGTTAGGGGGATACCAAGTTCTTGTTCTATCCAGCATTCATATAGAGAAAGGGTTGTATATAGCATGCAGAAACTCCGAAATGAACCAATCTTATGAAAGAGCCAATCGCTTCTGTAAAGAAACACTACCAAAGAATATATGCGGGTTTCTTGAAACATGGACCTCATGCTCATCAATGCTCAATATACACTCTAAAAGGACCATAACATCTCTTCAAAAGACTGACATCACCCACAGAAAAGCACCCGCTAGTTCAAGACTGGACGAAACCCAGGTCGCTGTTCTACCAAATTCACCAGCGGCGAAAACAGCTTCTTCTTCTCACCACTCTCCTTCCCAGTCATGGCGTCTTGAGCCAGCGCGACAATTTCATCCCAAGCCACCCACTCCCACGCCTCGCATTTCTCCGGCTCCATCAGCTGTCCAAAAGCATCAGCCCATCCATCACCATACACCGAACAACCCACTCCCCCCCAAAAAAAAAGAAAAGAGGAAGGAGGAGAAGCAAGAACTCACCTTCGGCTCCACCACATCACCACAAATATCCCCACTCACAAAGACAGTCACGTAATGCTTATTCTCATCGAGCATGACATTATTCGTGGCCGTTAGAAACTGAACGTTCCGGATAGTCAGCCCTGTCTCTTCCAAGACCTCCCGCTCGGCGCAGTTCTCGAAGGTCTCGCCGAACTCGAGATGACCTCCCGCTAGAGCCCAGGTACCTGAGTTACCATGTTAGTTTTTTGGTGTATATGGATCGAGGAAAACATGTAAAAATGAACGTTGTTGGGAAGCGTGAGGGCGGCTTGGGGAAAGTATGGTAGAGAAAAGAACACACCTGCGCCATGACTGCCTTTTCTCTTGCCTAGGAGAACTTCGCCCTTGTTGTTGAGGATGAAAGCCCCGATGCCTACTCTTGGTTCTTGGGTTGTTGTGGTTTGGGGCATTGTGGTTCGTGTTGTTTCTTTGGGGATGGTTTTATGCGGCACTCTAATGAGTCGGAGATCTATTCGCCTTTGGGGGAGGTAGATATACTACAGTAGATAGTGGCAGTGCTCTGGTGAAGCAGTGTGACTCAGAAGTGGAAGTGATTAAGTAGATGGGCTAATGTATGTGTATGTCCTGCCACACATTTGCATTGGAAGATCTTGTTGCGGAGTGGACCCGGTCGCCCGGCTGTACCCTGTTAGCGTAATACGGAATGTAACGTTCCTGCACGTATACAAATCAGAATTAAAGTTTATATTTATGTTGTGTAGTATATGGGGATGTCTGTACCTTGTCGTCTTATTCGAGGGTTTTCATTGTTATCATCCAGAGATATACAGCTTGTAGGTGAACAGTACGAACTGAATGAATGGCAAGATATTGTGAATAGCCGCAAAGGAGACAAATAACTATATAACGGGATCGAAACTTCCTCTTTTCGTTCTCAATTGTTGACTGTTTTAAAGACATGTCGAGGAGATTATGTGTACTCTACTATAGTCCAGCGGAAAGGTTGCAGATGTAGATACATAGTACAGATTAGTCTTGGGAGTTAATATCAAGTACAGATACCGGTCGATACCCTCTTCAACACAGTTCAAAGACATGCCAGCAGCCTACGTACTCTGCTCTGCTGTAGTAGCTGGCCTGTTCAAGTAGCCCTGTACCGCAGCCACCTTTGCACGTCCACTGAGAAGATATCGGAACAGCCTCGCCAAGGCACGTGTAGCTTCGAGCCAATCTTTCTTCCGAGAGAGATCATAGCCCCGTGTGAATTTCAGCTCAAGAACTTCGTCATTGGAACATCCTCTTGGGTGTACCCTGGCAACTAAATCAGCAGCAAATAATACCCGAGCGATATGAACATGCGGTCCGTGAAATCCCACCACGAAGACCTCTTGGTCTTGGACACCTGCTTTGCCTGTTCGAACGGTCATGTTCTGGGCAAGTTGCCCCAGCATTACGCTGAGGGTCTCTCCTAGGAACTCGTTCCAGTTTTGTCGACCATACCACTGGAAAATATCAGACGGATGGCCACCGAATGAAGGGCGGAAGAAGTCATGAGGATGCAGATAGTACATACCCCGGTATACGAGATGATTGGCAACTGCTCATCTTCCGGCCCAACAGTAACCGCACCCTCAGGCTTAGTAGCATATTGTTTACGGCCGATCACATATAGCGCCTTAAAACTTGAGGCAGTAAAGCTTCAGCCAAGTATAGTTAGCATAGAGACTCCCACTCGGGACGACAAGAAGGAAAACCCACTTGACTTCGAGACCTTGGTCTTCGATACCATCAAGGTTGCGATAAACATCCCTCATCAGCTCATTCAGTATCATAGCCTGCGACATCAGAAATGTGCGATGATATTCTCTCTCAGATACTCTCCAGTTTTTTCTAGGTAAAGTTATTGTCTCATTTGTTTTCAAGGAACCTGAAATGCTTGCGTTTCTGGCATCAAGGTAATCTATGTGGACGTAGTGGGAATCAAGCAGGTCAAAGAGTCTGCGAAAGGAATCATCTTGTCGCGGCCAATCATGCGTACAGTTTTCTTTGGCGATATCGGTTTGTCGGAAAATCCAGGGCGCTAGTTGTTCTACATCCTTATCTTGGATGGTGTGTCAGTAAACCAAACGTACCACTAGGCAAATGGGGGTGACACGGAGTAAGGCTACCTTCGCGGTCGATTTCCTCGGGTCTAGGGATTAGCTCGTCGAGGTCAACGATTGATGACCGGATGGTCGCTGACATGATGTCGATGCCGAGGTAATCTTGCGCGTAAAGTTAACCACAACGTCGAGTTCCAGTGGAGATGTAACCATGTTCTAGCTGGAGGTTCACGGTAAAAGACTGTCAGTCGACTTGTTTGGAGACTGTAAGCCTTGTCTGCCTGTTCAGGCGGGTGGTTGCCTGAACATGCACATCGGTTTTGTTCTTCTGTTTCCCTGTTGTTTGACCCAGTGATAATACAGTTAAGCATGCATGAACTACTAGTACTCCTGGCTTGACTTTCATGCATTGACCAGACAGTTTGATCGAGTTCTGCTTTGTGTGACTAAACAAAGAGATTAACTAAATCAATAGTTACCATAGTAACAAGGACTATACAAACGAACTGTGCATCTCTTTGTACCGGTCTTGAAACTAGTACTCGTATAAAGTCTACCCAATTAACAATATATGCAGTGTTTGTTTCCCGTAGTGGTATATATACTGAAGTGGTTTTGCTAAAGATCATACAGATGTCAAGCCCCCTCATCTCACTAAGGTGCCTCACTGCCTCCCAGGTTACTATTTAATACTATGTATTTCTGAACGCTAGGTATTAGATATATGCCGCAATAGCCTGGTTTACCGCGACACATGTCTTAGTATCGCTACAGTTCACTCCCTGAGTACCCAATGCAATTCGCATTCCCTATCCACTGTCGAATGGGGGAGGGAACTACCCCAGGAGAATGTCAATTGACTAATAGCTCTATATGAGAAGTGAAGAAGGGCATTATCCATATGACTCTCTGTCCTATGTTTGGCATACTAAAACAAACCTACCTTCATCGATCTACAGGATTTACGTATCATGACGAATCTCCGTGTTGCGTTTACAGCTTCGAGACTACCGAGTCGCATGGCCACAACAATACTAGTACAGACTAACCCTTGTCCAAGATCTCAACAACTTGTAGTACCTCTTTCAATAACGCGAAAGCGTCTAGCTCAGGAAGGAATCCCTTCTTGGTATTGTTGCGGAAAGTACCCTTTTCGTTCCTACATCAGGGCAGATTTGTCTATATCGAGAATACACTGTTCGTGACAGTGACTTATCTGTCTTGGCTTTGCCACTTCCTTCAGCAGTGAAAGGCTGCTCAGCAACTGGGAGGGATTCGTATGAAGTGATCCTGCAACAAAGGATAAGAAAAGAAAAAGAATGAAGCAAAACAAAAACGTAAGCTCCCCGACTGGGAGTCGAACCCAGGTCTCCCGCGCTTGTTCTCATGTGAGATGACAAGCGGAAATCATGACCGTTAGACCATCGAGGACTAGTGATGAAAGACAATATCCTCATTTATCATATATCAAGCAGGGCCACCTAGTAGCCACGACCATACCAATTGAGGCCCATAAAGTGGCTCTATGGAGTGAGCTTGGTTTCTTTCCAAGTATGTTGCTTTCCAGTCAGCCAGCGTCAGTTATTTTTCTGGACATTGAAAACATAGTATTCTATTGGGCACTCCAGGCTACATAATACTTTCGTGTATATGCAATGGGCGGCGAGGATGGCATGCCGGAAAGGAAGGTGTTCAGGTGCAAAGACTCATTAGTGTCGATAGATATGCAGGTGGGTGAAGTGGAGAGAGTAAAGTATACACTCCAGCTGGATAACCATTTTTCCTGGGCTCAAAACACACTGTCTAGTATTATTTAGTGGCATCATACATTGCATAACTGCGAAAATCCCTATTATACTCTAGTCTCTATCTTGCATCTCGGATTCTCACGAAAGGGCTTGCTAAAATTACTATTGCACCTTTTCCTTGCCCTCATCTATAGTGTCAAAAGTAGGAGTCTATAATATATCAATTCCTCGATGGTCTAACGGTCATGATTTCCGCTTGTCATCTCACATGAGAACAAGCGCGGGAGACCTGGGTTCGACTCCCAGTCGGGGAGATCCTTTTTTATTTTTTTATTATTATCTTTTACACACTGTGATCTCGTTTGTCTGTATTTGGTTCCTCTCTTAAGATTCCTTCGATGACGCCAGCTTCTTGTTCGAGGGAAGCTCCGATTTGCCCTCATCTTGATTCCATTCTATCATTACCCGTGTAAACCCCTTGCTGGACCTCATCGG